GGGGGGGGGGGGGGGGAACTACAGTTGCGGCGGCAAGGTCCCACTAGCGAAAAGGATTGGATTCACCGCCTAAGGGCCTAGTTGCACTACTCGCCATCCGCCAACATTTTGAATGCATCTGGACTCGATGTTGTCCAGATGCATTCGAAATGTTGGCGGATTGCCGGAGTAGCGCAACCACGTCCTAAATGTGGATGGGTTTTAAGCAGAGACGTGTTTGTGGAAAGCTGGGATCAATTGCGATTGTTCCCAGCTTTCCACAAACACGTCATCAATCGCGATTGTTCGCACCTGTCCGCAAAAACGTCCAGATTCGGACGTTTAATCCAATCCTCTTTGATTTCCGCCTGTGCTTGCGGCAATCCGGGTTGAATTGTGAGGTCCCCGGCCAGACCAAGCAAAGTTAAAAAAAAAAAAAAAAAAAAAGATTAAAAAAGAAAGAGAAGTCGACAAACAATTCATGATTGGATTTAACGCCTGAATCTGGACGTGAATGTGGAGAGGTGCAGATAATCAGGATTGATCTGCTTTTCTGCATCTCTGCTTAAAACCCATCCCGATTGAGGTGCTTAATCCAAGCCTCGTTGCTAATTGTCTTCCCCCGAACACAACGCACCCTTGTTATGACTGTATCGAGCTGGAAACATAGCTTGTATACATTCATGATGACGGTGCGTCGTATTCGGGGAAAGGCTGTAATGGGACCTCGGCCATGAAGTGCATCCAAACTATTACCCAAAGCAAGGGATTTTTTTTTTTTATGGAAAAAAAAACAATAAGAAGGCCAAAAAATGTATAGCCATCTTGTTTCTCCTTTACGTCGTCCAGTTCTTTCTTTTTTTTTTTCTTCTTTTTTTCCTTTTTTTTTTTTTCTTCTTTTTTTCCTTTTTTTTTCTTTTCTTTTTTTTGATTGAACATCCTGTAGTTCTTTCTATTTTCTATACGGCATACTCACACTAGCACTTTCCTAAATGTATCTGACTGCAATTACGGCAAAACCTAGATGCATCTGACCGCAATCACGTCCAGAGCTCAGTAGGAAAAAAAGCCTAGTGTGAGTATGCCCTTCTACTCTTTCCGCTCTCTGACCCACTTGAGAGAATCATCTCCCCTCCTTTTCTTTTTTTTTTCTTTTTTTTTTTTTTCCCCTCCGAATTTTCGTAGCATTGACATCAACGGACACGACGATCTAGATGATGACTGTGAAGCATGTCGTCGTTTCGTGGGGGGAAACAGTTTTACATATTTATTTATATATACAATGCTATACATTTTTTTTTTAATATATGTATATTTATATATTTATTCGTTAGCTATGGATTCAAGTTATTATTCAC